TCACGTGATTAACGTGACGCCTCTTGACACACTGACCAAGTTGTGATAAAAAATAGCAATAATTTATAGTCTTTGTAGAACCATATTTTACAAAATATTATTTGAGAATTTGTATAAAAATTTAAAAAAATATCGCATTTCGTTTGTTTAAAAGCAATCGGCTAAATAAAATATTTGAGTATAACCCTCTAGCGTTGTCCCTCATATGGTCGTATGGAGTTTTTGTCAACATACGTGAAAAAATTAGAAATTAAACATGAATTTTCAAAAATTTATGCATGATCAGGCACTTCAGCTCTTGTTAATGTGACATCGATAGATTTCTAATCTTCTATATTTATTAGGACATATTTATTCAATATATAGCGCACGTGTGACCAATCAAAGAAACCATTGTTATGAAGCCATCGTTATATATGACGGAAATCGTCATAAATATATATCACCACACTATCTGGAATTTTCAATACTTGGGTATCATTAGCAAATCGTACAATTAAAAATTATTGATTTGTCAATGAACGAGGATCATAGGTTAAGAAATAGTTTACGTAACCCATAAATAGAAATATCAATTCGTACTTTAGCAGTGAGTCAAACTATACTGTTATTCATAAATTCTGAAATTATGTCTTGACGATATATGTATATCCTATTAAGGACAACTTTGCCATTTCCTATTCAATTCGTAACTAAAAGAAATTAATAATATATATTAATATAATAAAAGCTCATAGACGATACACGTTGTCCTGAAGCAGGCCAAGTCTTTATTTATTAGGCCTGGATTGAATTAAGTTATTTTTATGGAAAACTAATCTCTTTCAAGAATATCAATGGCAATGGCAATGGCAATGGTTTTTTTCGGCCGATTAAGTGTATATAACCCCTTAACATAATTTTTTTCGAACAGCAATTACAACTAGGAGTTCTATAAAGTCTTATAATGATACTTTGTTTCAATTTTTGGTTTTTGAAAAGGCAATCCAATAGTTATCCTAACTATTTAATGCATTTTATATTAGATGGTAACCCAATTCTGATGATAATATATTTCAATCTTTTTAATAGTGATGATATATTTTAACATATTGCAGCAATGTCGAAATAGTCAATTTTTACTTGTAAACGTATTTCTTAACTATATTTTCAAAAAAATAGATATCACTACTGCTTGATATTAGTTTGACCAAAATGCGACTTAATGATTACAAAAAAAAATGCTTAACGCGTCAATAAACATCCATAGGCACAAAAATTTATAATAAATGTTCAAATCGGCAACAATAAGTATCATAAAACGAGGTAATTGTAGAAAAGACTAGAGGTGCGATTGTGACAATGTAAGTTTGATCAGCAATAATTTTGTTAATTTACCAATTAGTTAGAAAAAGAGTAAATTAAATGGTAATTTGCACATTTGTCTATGTAGAAATATTTAAACACTTTCTTAAATATGATGTATTAGACATTTTTATGTGAACTAATTAAGTGGACTTTAATTTCATATACTATTATCAAAAGTATGACATATCTTTTTTTTTTTAACTGATATATACCAGTAATATAAGGCAAACTAAAAATGCACGAAATTTAATGCATAAATCGATATAATCAATTAGCGAATCTATATGTGAAAGCAAAAATTAAAGTATTTAGTAAATACTGCTGTTAAGTTACTGTTAAGATTATATTAAAAATTAGTATTTTTGATGCATCTATTAGTAACAAAATTCCAGGAGCCATTATACATCAATCAACTCTTCAATAAGTCACATGATACGTGAATTATTATTTAAGAAGGCAACGATTGACCTATCAGATTGCATTTTCATTATTAGAATTTCTTTGATACTGATGACCTTTAATTTGAAGCAGCAATTGCTAGAGTAAAGCTGTTTCAACTTGAAATATTGTTTTCTGTATTTCCAAGTAAAACCGAAATCACTACTACTTGATGTCAAATTGTTCGAAGCCGGTAACGATTCTAGGGCTATTGGATGGCTATAGCTCTAACCACTAAGCCAAGTGTTTGTAATACATATAGATTATTAATGTGTCAATCAACTCTTAAAAGTCAACGATTGATCTATCAGATTGGATTTTCATTATAAAAATTTTTACAAAGCAATCGCACTACTTTAGCTGCATAGAGACGAAGCATCAAAGCGCGTAAGCGCCGCGTCGCCGCCTAACGGATGTTACGGAACTTACAAAAATGTAAACAAAATTGATACACGTTATTAAAATCTCCATAAAATACTGATAATTTGATGTGCATGTCCAATGAACATGGATTTTTTTTCACTTTCATTGGATCGCCGAAACTGCTAGACCTGCCTTTCCAAAAAATATAATGTTTTTTTGAATCTTTCAAATTGGACGCTCCGTTCTCTCAAAAATTGAATTACCACTTTTGGTACTTTTTCTCCCGTATCTTCAGAACGGCTAGACCTGCCTTTGCCAAAAACTGATCAGCACGTCTTCTGATCAATAGGAATCGAATGTTTTTTGAAATACCTAAATTGGTTGATCCGTGTTCTCGGAATTGTCGACGAAAAATTGTATCCTTTGAAACGTAAAGATATATAAAATATTTCATTTTCAATTTTTTTTGCGATTACTATAACTTACCCTACGGGAAGTTAAAAAGTAAGTTATGTTTGGAATACATATAGATGAATTATGCTTGCAACAAGAATTGTTGTTACCTTCATCGTGCTACTCGATTTGATACGAGCTTGAGGCAGGTCTATTTACGGTCGTTCCAAAATTAAATTCACGATCTCTTCTTATCGTAAAACGATCTCGATCTCTCGTCTCTACTCTAGTACGCCGTAATTAACGTGCGTCGCTAATTATTTCGGCAAATGTCAACGTTGATCGCAGGTAGCTGATAACACTTTAAAGCGAATCAAGTTTTATAATAAAAGAACTTTGGATTCATCGTGGGTGACATTATAATTTTAAAAATAAAAAAAATGTTTTCTTGTTACCTAATGTGAATTTGAAAATAGAAACTATTGCGTGGTTGCAAACAAAAAATTAAATCTGATGCAATGAACAACGCTTAGAACAGATGGTATAAACCTTTTTTTTTTTGATTTAGGACGATTTCTCAAAAATGGCTGGACCGATTTCAAAAATTTAAAACCCATTCGAGTTTCTTCAGAATTAGCAGAAAAGTGTAAATTTAAATAGTTCAAAAACAATCCAAAAGATATTGGTTGAGAATCGTATTAATTAGTTTTTGGTAGAAATCATTCGAGTCGTTTCTTCGTCATTATGTTAAAAATTTCATCTGACAATTTTGATGAAACTTTGTAGAACAATATATTCCAGTCTGAAATAACGTATTAAAATATTATAGGCCTATAGACCTATAAAAATTCATCAAATTTAAAATTTCTTTGGGCGCTCAAGCGAGTCTATTTTTAAAAAGGTTCTAATTTTCAATTTTGGAATGAAATTTGATACAAAAAAATGTTTATATCAAAATACGCAAAATGAAGTAGCCATACTAAATCGATATTACTAACTAAAGTTAATTATGAAAAAATTTGTGAATTTTATATCAACTTAGTATTAAAAAAAACGAAAAAAAAACATAAAAATATATATAATAGCAATAATAATAATAATATATAACAATCTACCTCACAAAGAAAACCTAAGGTTCATTCTTTGAGAATTTTGATAAAACTATATTGAAAGAGTTGATGGTCAAAAGGAAACCGCATAAAATACTATAGGCTTATGAGAAGAGGTTTAATTAAAATATTTAATTGAGGGGCCGATTTTGCCGTAAAATAGAGCAGTGTTATGGCAAGGCTATGTCATGTAGAAGTTTTCATATAAAGTAGTACTAAAAACTGTCAAAATCCTATGTGATTGCTGTGCAGTCTGGCGTTTTAGATAGAAAACCTAACTTGGAAAAGGCATGAATATAAAAAACGATGTTATGGTAACTGCAGCCAAAACCGGGACGGCAATTTTTAATTACACTAATCCTGGACGAAGAACGAAGGGGGGCAGGGATCGTTTTGCTACTTATCTCAAATATAATTTTAAAATAACAAATGCTATTTGAGGGTATAATAAAAACATTACTTTTCAAAATGAATCTACTTTTTAATTAGAATTTTGGACTTTCAGTAAGAACTTCAAAATTTGATTATATGCAATACTCTTTTCTTACTTATGATATTATATTACATCTTATATTTTTCGATCTATATGTTTAGGGAAGGGAGAGGTGTACCAAGTCATCACGTGTATTTATTTTCTACCTGTATTTTTTTAAAAAATCCAAACATTTTCAAAAAAAATTCAAAAATTGTATAATTTTTTCTCGTAACTAAAAATACACGTGATCTTTAGTGGGAAAGGGGTAATTTTGAATATCACCACGTATCACCAAGTGGGAGGGGGGGTCAAAAAATCCTTAAAAAATCGATCACGTAATTAATGAACGCCCCCTTATGGTCACCTTAGTGAAGTTGCATTTTATGTGTAAAACGCCTGGTCGCACAATAAATACTTGGCATTTTGACAGTATTTAGTAGCATTTTGTATGAAAACTGGAACGTATTTTAACCTTGCCATAACATTGGTCTATTTTACGGCAGAATCGATTTCTTAATTAAGCGGCGGGCTCCCAATATTTACGAAGTTTTAGTTTCGAATTAATGTCTTCGAGTGACAGCACATTAGAAATATCTAACTATGAAAAATAGTTTCAGAATATTATAGAAAGTTTTTATATATTGAAAAACTAAACTTTTCCTCAAACCACGTGGGATTTGATAAAACTTGACTGTACCACATTTGAGCTTCTGAACTCTAGATAGCAGCACACAAATCATTTACACGAATGCAATTTTAGCGACATTTAAAATAAAAAATAATCAAATCAAATGTTATCGTTTTCAAATCAATGTTTTAATTTAGTTTAGTTTACGTGTAACGTTGTAATACAATATTGTATTCGAAATATACAATATAATGATATTATAAAAATACAAATCATATTATTATTTTAAGAACTGATATTTTTTTTTTTTAACTTGAATTCCAAATGTATTTTTAATAATGCCGGTTGAAAAAGGAAAAAATGTAGCAGTCGTCGTTCTTGGAGATATAGGCCGAAGCCCTCGTATGCAATATCATGCAGAATCATTGTCAAATTGTGATTTTAATGTTGATATTATAGGTTATGGTGACACAAAGCCTCTTGATTCCTTAGTAAATAATTCCAATGTTAACATAATTCATTTACCACCATTCCCTTCGTTTACATTACCAAAACTACTTACATACGTTTTAAAAACATTATGGCAAAGTTTGTGCCTGTTATTTATCCTGCTATATAAAAGAAAATCAGATTACATCCTTTGCCAAAATCCACCGGCAATTCCAACATTATATATATGCTGGTTTTATGCTCTTGTTGTACGTGCCAAACTAATAATTGACTGGCATAACTATGCCCATACAATTATGGCACTTCAGTTGGGCAGGGAACACAAACTCGTACAATTAGCTTCCTTTATTGAGTCACGTTTTGGAAGACTTGCTGATGGACACCTTTGTGTAACAAAGGCTATGAAATTTGATCTCAAAAAAACGTGGAAGATCAGGTAAATACCACATTTACAGCTTCCATTCTTAAGCTATCATTTTAAAGTTTACTTGCTAAATCGAATCAAAATTAAAATAGTATTTTTCAATCAGTTTTCTAATTTCAGAGCAACAACATTATATGATCGTCCACAAGAGTCATTTAAACCTATCACATTAGAAGACAAACATGAATTATTTGAACGATTAGCAGAAGAATACCCTATTTTCCAATCTGAGGATAAAACTAATAAATTTACACATATTGTTGATGGTGAAGTACAATTAAAGAATGATAGACCAGGTTTGTTGATCAGTAGCACAAGTTGGACCGAAGATGAGGATTTTGAAATATTATTAAATGTTTTTAAAGGTATTGCATATCTGAAAATATTGATACTTTGTAATCGAATTATAAAAATCCATGATTCTAATAAAAGTGAATTATTTTTTAAGATTATGACAATGCTGAAAAAGAGCACAATCTTCCACAATTGATATGTATTATCACAGGAAAAGGTCCACTTAAAGAATTTTATATTGAGCGAATTAAAAACCTTGGATTGAAAAATATATTAGTATTAACTCCTTGGCTTGAAGCTCAAGATTACCCAAAACTACTCGCAAGTGCTGATTTAGGAGTGTGCTTACATACGAGTTCAAGTGGACTCGATTTGCCTATGAAAGTTGTGGACATGTTTGGATGTGGACTTCCTGTTTGTGCATTTAAATTCAAATGGTGAGTTCAATAAGTTTATTACCTTAGAATAGTAATATTATAATTTGTCATTTCACTGATATTTCTATTTATTTCAGTATAAATGAACTTGTGAAACACGAAAGAAACGGTTATACATTCACAAATTATATACAATTAAAAGATCAAATATTCGATTGGTTTAGAAACTTTCCCAACAATTTAGAAGAGAACGAAAAACAAAACAGAATTAGAAATAATATCAAAGAATTCCAAGAACTTGGATGGTCTGAGAACTGGAATGCAAATGCATATCCATATTTTAAATGACTTTGTTTTAGAAGATTTGTATCAGAGTTATATTTTAGAATACATGTTTTATTTTTATGCAAATAAATATGCAGACTTCATGATGTTTAGTTTATACTGTTAAAATTACTTACACAATAATAATCAATATAATGCAAATTCAAAGAAATTATTAACTTCCCGTAGGGCAAGTTATAGTAATTCAAACGTTTCAAAGGTTTCTGAACATTTTGGCCTTAGAAAAAATGGATGTATGTGTGTGTGTGCGTGCGGATACAAATTTTCGTCGACGATGTCGGGAAGAGCGATCAACCGATTTGAATAATTCAAAAAACATTCAATTCGTATTGATAAAGAGACGTGCTGATTAGTATTTGGCAAAGGCAGGTCTAGCCATTCCGAAGATACGGGACAAAAAATGCCAAAAACGGTAACTCAGTTTTTAAGAAAAAGGAGCGTCCGATTTTAATAATTCAAAAAAGATTTTACTTGTATTGACAAGATGAAGAAAGATTAAATTTTTGGGAAGGCATGCCCAGCGGTTATAGAGTCTCAATAAAAATAAGTTAAAAAAATGACATTTTGCGGTCAGAAATGTTTATTAGACATATGTACATCAAATTATCATATATTTTATAGAGATTTTAATAATGTGTACACATTTTTTGTAATTTCTTTTGGGTTCCATACCAAGATTTTTAATTACGGTACGGGAAGTTCCAGCAATTTGCCTGAAGGCACGATGCCATGCTCTCCACAAGTTAATTTGACTGAATTTACCAAATAATAAATCTCTGAGTACTCATATCTGATTTGAAATTGGTGCCATGTTATATTATGTTGGTACACATGTTAGTTACTTTACTATTAATATAATAGATGTCGCCTGAATCTTCTTATTGATATTAAGCATTGTTTCTACTAGCATAAAACATTCTCGCATAACACGCGGTTTGAAATTATATTACAGTAATAATTATATTAAAAGTTATTGATTGTAAATAAAGTGAATTGCAGCGTCTTCACGAATTGACGAATATTCAACAAGAATATTGAAAGCCCTTCAAACCTTCATTTATCAAACCCCTCAGTGAAGCGCCAATAACGCCGAGAGGTTTACCAAGAAGTTTTTACTAGTGCGCAGTATATAAAAGCTACAAATATGGTAAATATTTCTTGAAATATATATTTATATGTGTAATTATAATAATCAAGTACTTTGGTTTACTCTATTATCGCACGTGTTAAACCTAACCTATTTCTTTTCAGACTGAAGAAGTTAACCCCAAAGCGTACCCCCTCGCTGATGCCGCTTTGACCACCAAGATTTTGAACTTAGTTCAGCAAGCCATGAACTACAAACAGCTCCGTAAAGGGGCTAATGAAGCCACAAAGACACTGAATAGAGGTCTTTCGGAATTCATAGTGATGACTGCTGATGCTGAGCCATTGGAGATTTTACTTCATTTGCCCTTGCTATGTGAAGATAAAAACGTACCTTATGTATTTATTCGTTCCAAACAAGCTTTGGGTCGTGCTTGTGGTGTCTCTCGGCCTGTTATAGCTTGCTCGGTTACTGCTAATGAAGGTTCTCAATTGAAGCCACAAATCATAAGCATCCAACAAGAAATTGAGCGATTACTTGTGTAGAAATATTTTATATAAAATGACTTTATGAATGACTGTTGAATTTGAAAATTACTTATTTTATACATGAAATAAATTTAAGTATAGTATGTATTTGAGTTATTTTATTTTTGCTATCGATAATTATAAGAATTTCAGGTTTCATGATTATACTGATGTATTCAATGATTTATCTTAAATTTTAATCTTTAAAGCATAAGGGTGCAAACAGAATTTCAACCATGTGTTGTCATTTAAATGGCCTTAAGGCAAATTGCTGAAACTTCCTGTACCGTAATGAGAATTTTCAAATGTTTTGGAATAAATTATTATAAATACTTCAACATTCATTATTCATATTTTATATACAAAATATTAGAGCTTATAAATTGAACGAAGACGTTTCTATATGTTTACATAAAAACTAAATGAACAAAACTTGGAGTGGAGTTAGAAATAAAGAATCTTATCTCATATTTCTAAAAATTATATGAATTTATTTTAAGTATATGTATTAAAATCCCGAATAATTTTCAATATTTGAAAAATTAATTAAAAAAGGTGGACCTTTTCCTGTGATAATACATATCAATTGTGGAAGATTGTGCTCTTTTTCAGCATTGTCATAATCTTAAAAAATAATTCTCTTCCCCAAAAACTAATAGTTTCTTCAGAAGCAAAATATTTTGGAATCATTCTAATCCGGTGCTTTGTTCTCTCAAAAATAGGAACTACTGGGCCTGTTTTTGCCAAGAAATAATCACTCTTCTCACCATTACGAATTGAATGCGTTTTGAAATATTCAAATGTGTTGCTTTGTTTCATTTTCTACAATCTTTGCTTTGTATTTTGAAAAAATTGTATCCACACTGATTTTTTCTGAGGTATGCCAAAATGCTCAGAAATCAATGAAACAGAGATATGCAAAAACATTCAATTCCGATTTTTGGAAGAATGAAGAAATAACAAATGCAAAAGTCATGAGCAGAGGTGGCGAAGAAAGGACTCTACTGAGTTTGATCCTTAAAATAAAAGGAAACTGGATCGGACCCATTCTGCAAAAAGAGCGTCTCTTACATGACGTAGTTGAAAGTAAAATAAAAGGACTGAAAGAAATGGGAAGAATGCAGGTGTTTGATGATTTACATGAGAAGAACAAATACAGGGAACTGAAACCTGAAGCGAAGAGTCAGGAAGCATGAAAGTAGAAGTTTGGATAGGCAAAGTATTAAAAGGATGATTACTGGTGATGGGAGTGATAGATGAGGAAGGTGAAAGAAATAATTGATTTGTGGTGGCTCTCACACATGGACCTGCCTTGGGGCTACCATTTATTATTGTAATATTCGTGCTCACATAGAATTACCATTGATAAAACTTTAATTCTGCCAATGGATGTGGATTTCTAGATTTCTTTTTAGAGTAAACGTAATATATATTTGTAATGTTTATTGCTGTGATTATATTACTAGCTTTTACAATGATAGTGCAATGTTATTGCAACTAACTTAAGTTTTCGTAAGGAATGGTATGAGACTATGAGTATCACTCTTATATCGAATAAGCAAGAACTTTTATAAAGTCAACAAAACTATGGTCGAGACTATATAAAAAGTTATTCTAGATATATTCTTCATTTAGTTTCAAAAAATTTCATATTCAAATAGATTGCTGCTTTTATAGTACATATGATCATTTAATCGTTAACGAAAATAAATAAAAACATGCACACAAAATATTTGATAGAAAACCAGATTCTCACCTCTTTTATTGTTGATTTCATGTAGCACATTTTATCAAATATAACATATTCTATTTGTATATTAATCAAGGATCCTTTAGAAGCTTTACTTGTCACTTTGGAATACTTTTCAGTCTTATAATTAATGATTTGCATAGTTTTGTTGTCCACTCTTTTCCAGAAAGGCAGAAAATAATTTAAAACCATTTTACACAATCACAAAACACTATTTCTTTATACTAGTTACCATTAAATGACTGACCACTGTTTCATACAAGTGAATACAATTAATAATTGAACTGCACAACTGTCTATTTGAAATATTTTAATGAAACGAAAGTGTCTTATCACAGTAATAAATAGACAGTTGCCTGGTTGCCAGATTCAATTAATTTTCACCTAAATGATGTTTGGTTGGTACTATTTAGTGTCAGACGTCAGACCTGTCACTTGTCACTTGTCAGTTCTAGGTCAATTGAATCTGAGCTCCAGTGCTTAGCAAAGATCAGTGTTACGTATAAGGTAATTTTACATAATGGCATCTTTGAAGTTAAATATCGTAACCAGGAGCTTAAGCTCATCTGCAGTCGCGTCTCAAATGGTTAAACCACCCGTACAAGTATATGGAATTGAGGGTAGATACGCAACTGCCTTGTACTCAGGAGCCAGTAAGAATAAAGTACTCGACGCCGTCGAGAAAGATTTGGTCAAAATACAGAATAACTTAAAGACCGATGTAAAATTCCGCGATTTCATTGCCAATCCAACATTCAAGCGCTCAATTAAATCAAATGCATTGAAGGAAGCCAGCAGCAAGCTGCAAATGGCTCCAGCTACTTCTAACTTGTTGGAGTTACTTGCTGAGAATGGACGTTTAAATAAACTGGAAGGTGTTATCAACGCTTATAAAGTTATGATGTCTGCTCATCGTGGAGAGGTTCCATGTGAAGTTACAACAGCTAAACCTTTAGATGAGAATCAACGAAAACAACTTGAAAGCACTTTAAGAGGATTCTTAAAACCCAAAGAAAACTTATTACTAACCCTTAAAGTTAATCCCTCAATCTTGGGTGGAATGGTCGTATCAATTGGAGATCGTTATGTTGATATGAGTGTTGCCAGTAAAGTAAAGCTGTACACTGAAATTATTTCAACACCTGTTTAAAATAAACTTTGTCAAAAATAGAAGAAAATGAAATGTTCATGTTGTATGCAATTTTAACTAACATCTGTATATTATTTATATAGTCAATAAATAATTGATTGTACATTATTTTTGGTTTACATATATGAATTACATAATCATCACACATAAAGTTGAGTTATTCCACAACATGTTTAGTTAACTAAATTAACCCTAACTGAGTGTGTTAATCAAAACTCTTCATCATTTATATATATTTAAACAACAATTACTATATTTTTTACATTTATATACAATACATAATTAAAACACAATAATGCATAATAAAATATATACATAAAGTGGAATGTGGTCAATAGCATCTAAACTTAATATAAAGTAAAAAAATAAAGCTAAATTAGGCCTAATCATAAAATTTGCAACAGCTCGTATATAAATTTTCCTAAGTATTGATCCTAATCCTCAAATCTTTCTACATCGTTATTACCTCTATTCCTAATACTGTTTTCACTCTGCAGAATTTCTTCAGGAGTAACTTCATAGATTGGATCATCAGTCAAGAGCTTTTCACGCTCCATTTCAGAACTGAAAACATTTTTCATAGTAAATCATCTACAATAATTTACATGCAAATTATCTAAATTTCCATTTTAGGACAAGCAGCAAAATTATCAAAATTAAAGTACAAAAGTATAGTTACTCTAAAGTTCCATCAAAGCTATTAAAATATTTAGTTAATATAATTTATCTATTTTTAAAATAAAACAAGTAAAAAAATGTATAGTATTTTACACTAAAATAATTTATTATATTATAGTGAAAAACAATAATATAACAAAACACTATTAAAGTATAAAATACTACAGTTATTAATGTTACACATACAAAATGAATCAAAAGATTACAATCCACAAATATTTTTTTTTTCAATATCTGAAGTATGATTTTCATTCAACTTACATAATAATTTTTTGGTATTCTTCTCGCTTCTTTGGTGTCAAATTTAATATACCATTACTTGAAGAATCTACCATCCAGATAACGATTGTTGATATGAGAGCAACTGAAAAAGTAAAAAAAAACTTAGTATTTCAATGTTTAAAATGATTAGTATAATTTAATATTTGCACCATCAATTATTAAAGCACTTAAAAGGATGAAGAATGTATATGTTACTGAAGCAGTTAATAAAATAATTCAACAACTTACTGCACAGCCAAGCAATGAAAAATATTTCCAACATAAAATAGCCTCCATTATCAACAATCATGCCAGCCATCATAGATATTAGGGCCAATCCTAAGTTTTGTACAGACTGGCAAATTCCGTAAGCCGTACCCAATTGGTATTCAGGAATTATAAGTGCTACTAAAGGCCACAAACTACTGGCTAGCATAGAATATGATAAACCCATTATCACCTAAAAACAAGAATAATTATAATATATACACACACACACACACATATATATATATATCTTATATATAAAATTCTTCTGTAACAATGTAAGTTTCATATTTCCTCCTAAACTATAATTCGGATTTTCATGAATCTTCCTGAAGTTTGTACGGGAAATTTTTTAGAATGTTTTGATTCATAGAAATATAGTTAAATTGTAGAAATAAATAGAAAAAATTACAAAAAACCGCTTATCATTGTTTGCCCTTGAAAATATTTGAAGCTTAGTTTTGACATTAAAAACAATTGAGGACTGTCATTTGCCAAACATTTCTATTCACTTATAGGCTAAGGCGATATTAGAATATAATAAATTCATAATTATGAATAAGGAAAATGTAATGTCTACATTATTAATGCCGAAAAGCAGCTGAGATGTGCCATAATTAAAATAATATAATATGCAAATAATATAACATATGCGTTTGACAGTCTGCGCATGCGTCTGACGCGCACGACGAATCGTGTTCTCAACTGCGCGTGGTTTGCTTTTGCTTGCAATAATTTTGTTTGCGCACTTTGCGAACAGATTCGCCATACGAATTCGCGCAAAGGAGCGAGCCATAAGTGATTGCGCTCAAAGATATTCAATTTGCAGTCGTTTTGCCTTACTATACTAAGTCACAATACAAAAAAAATATTTAGAAGTTTCATTGTGTCAAAAAATCATATGTTTGTCATTGGGTACGGAATATTTACTCAATGGAGCACTTTCGGTCTGAAATTTTTACTGTTTTCCAATTCGTTTGGAATTTTGGAACTAGGTTCATCTTACTCTTCAGAAGTGAAAGCAATTTAGACTCCTTTACCACTTTTAGGGTGGATGACATTTCTTTTCAGTGGTGTAATTTTACTTTTTTCAAAATAACGTTGGGTATCGATAAAAGAACTAATTATACGAGAAAAATATTTAATAATGTTTTTCAAAAAAGGAAATACTTTTCAAGTTACTGGCTACTGAATATTTTTGCTAATACCTTCAAAAATATACATTTTAACGAAAATCATGTAATGAGCACAATTATATCAATTAAAATCTTAATAAATCGTTATTTTATAGTGTTTTAGGAACATTATTAGGCTAGATATGAAATTGGGTTTTTATAGTGCTCAAAATAAGCTTTAAAATGAGTACTTCTGCGTGTAAAATGAGTGAGCTATCATGCAGATAAAGGACGCATGCAATGTTTTTTTTTTCATTTAAATCAAATACTTTGAGTGCCATATCCACCAAAATTAAACATAATCGTATTCAATCTAGAATTAACTTGGTTTAAGAGATCTTGATGGATTCTAGAAAATACCACAACTTTAGTACAAATGATTCTCAAAAAACTCATGATTTCATGAAAAAAAACATTTAAAAAGAAACAACCAATTTCTCATCATAATACCTCTGAAAGAATACGTATAAAAGTATATATATATGAAAATTCGAGGTATTTTTCTGACTAATTATTGTTGTTTATTATTTTTTCGTTACACAAATATTGATAGATGTATGATTAATTAAGGAGCTTTCCAACCAGAGGTCTTTCGAGCCCTTAACCCTTCGCCGTTTTACAATAAGAGAAGTTACGGTAAAATTAATGATAGAGAAAGTTGTAGCTTATTTAATCACCTTTAAAATAGTGTATTACAAGTTCTGATAAAATCAGAATTAAAAAAGTAATAATCCAATTAATGCGGTGGATGGTGACGGAGTGCAAATTGTTTTCACTTCTGAACTTAAGATAAAGATTAGCCTATTTCCAAAATATCAAGTAAATTGGAGCACAGTAAAAAAATTCACAGAGCAATAATTTTGTTGATCGTAAGTTGAATAGAGCACATGTGAACAGGATTTGACAAATTAATTCACTTCAAATATAAACTTAAGCAATAACGTATATTGATTTATTGGAGAAAAAAATGTAGTTTAGATATTAAAATTACTAAAAGCCAGTTAAAATATGGTACGAAATTATAAAAATTATAGGCAACATTATTGAAGCATATATTTTGGGTAGAAAAATAAAAGGTGATATTGCACCTTTGCCGCGAATGCTATATATTAATTCTTTCTGAATTTGTTGTACTTTTTAAAAGATTTCAATTTTCAACACGTGTATCTTATGCTATAACCATAAATCACAAAGGCAGACGATTATTTTTAGTGTGATAAATTTGGAAAATCAATGTTTTAGTCGTGAATAATCAAAAAATCATTCATTTATACATCCACATCTACAGGTATGACTAAAAATACTATATAACCCTTAAATGCAATAAAATAAATTGAGCTATTGGAAATAAATTTGTTCTGTAAATCGCAGTGTATAATTTTTAATATACAATTTTATTGAACATTTTTTAATATTTGTTAATTGAATAATTAAAGTGTGGGAATTGAGAACAATCATTTTATTTGAAACAGTTCTACATTCAACATCACTCATATATTGGTGTAAATAGTAATTCAAAAAACAGTAATTATTATTTTTAACTAAGCAGTAAATATTAGTATAAAATATTGAAAAATTGTAGGGATGGGTACAGAACAACGTCTGTCGGGTCAGCTAGTATATATATATAAATATATATATAAATTTGATGTTGATTAAATTTTAACTTTTGAATGTAATTTAAACTCACCATTCCTATATAGGGG